CTCTCCCTGGAAGATGGGAGGCATCTTTCCTTGCTATACTCAGCTGCCATAGTTTTCCTGGATGCTTGACTTGACTTCCTAGACCTAGAGAGAAACCTCCAGTGCTTGGTGTATGGATCTTGTCTCCTGCCTTTGCCTTTTGTCTTGCTCCTTGACTGTTGTGGTTCTTGGGGACCTGTGCCTGCCCTCCAGGTGACAGTGCCTTTACACCCCGATGCCTGGTACATGCTAAGTTATTAGGATACCTGCAGAGTGGGGAAAAACATAAAATTAGCACCATCTAGCCTGCCTTGCCCTCTGCCTAATTTATCCATCATTCTTAGAACTTCTGGTCTACTCTGTTGATTTAATTACATGCAAAAAGTTTGTTTTGTTTTGTTTTTGGACCCTCTGCTGGTGAAATGAACTTTCTCATATATTCTTGAACAAAGCCCGCTCTTCTGTCTGGAGCATAAGCAGCTTTGGGAGAGGTGCATTTGGAGAGATGAGGAAACAAGGATCACCTTCCTAGCCAGTAAGATAACTGGTCAACAGGATGGTGGGAGTCAAAGCCCGACCTCCTTCACATCCAGGTGGCTTTGTGCGCATACCATATTGAGAATACTATGCATAGCTCGTGCGTTAGCACATTCTTTGGCCCATGAGTGCAAAACAAATGGTGTCTGTAATGTTCATAAGTATCATCTCTCCTAGGCGGTGGAGCCAAGACATGAATCCGTGATGGTATTGGCACCAAGATCAATTAATTTGGAATCTCTTTAACAAAGTAGTAATTTACTGTAAAGACAACTGATTTATCTAAGTGGAAACACAGCAAGTTCAGGGCTGAGGGAGAGCACTGTGGTCCCTAGTGTATGGGCTAAAGTTTCCAAAGAGATGAAACTTGAAGCAAATCCTACAAGAATGTTTATTATTAACTTCGCCTCCAGTATTTCCTGCTTCTTACCATTGGTGGATCTTGGCAGCTGGTTTTGCCGTCTTAGAATAGAGAATACTTACGGAGAGCCTAATAATATAAATCCTGATGCTTCGGGAGTTTCTGCTTAAAAGTTAACTTCTCTGAATTCCAAGGATTCTAATAATAGAAAACTGTTAACTTCTCTTTGAGCAAGTGTAGCTGTCCTGTTCTCCTGACAGTTTTTCTTCTTCCCCATTTAGATTATAAATACATGGGAGCCTGGGACCATGTGTTTCTTATCCTTACTTTGTAATTCCCTATGGATAAGACTGGCCCGCTTCGTACATTGTAATCTAATCACTTACTAAGAGGTCTCTGTATTTGCTGAAGGTGATGGATTAGCCTTTCAAGCGCCCCAGCCCCAGCAGTGCTGGTTGTCTGGGGCATTCCCATCACCTGCCTTCTTCTGATCTCTATTTCTCTTCCAACCCAACTATGCTCCTGCTTTTTTTCGCTGATCACCCCATTTCCATAGCATATTAAATATACTTTTAAGGAGATGTCAAGACTTCCCTTAAGAATACGGGCTTTTATTTGTGACAGCACATATGCATTAACAGAAGATAGGCATGTTGGCAAATGAAATCTGACCAAATACCGAGAAAGCCTTAATTGAGAGTACCCAAGTTAATTTTAAAACCCACCAAGTTAATATAGCTTTACTTTTTAATTTAGTAAGTGGGTTTAGCTACTATTTTAACTCAGTTAATATAGTCTTTCCTCAAGTTCAGTTGAATTCACTTTTTTTTCCAATTCACTAAAAATATTTTTATTCAGCTATTGTTTTTAGACAACTAATGAAACTCTTCTCTGCAGTTCTCTTTTGCAAATGGACTGGTTTCAATAAGTGGTGCTTAATTTGTGTAATTGCTCTCTTTTATTCTTCTTTGTGATCCACCTTTCATTCTATTTGGCAGACACTGGTTGCTTTGTAATTTAAAAAAAAAAAAAAAAGAAGTAACACGTAAGTATACCTGGCAAGAATAGATATCAGCAAAATGATTCTTAAGTGAAATTTTGTATATTGTAAACTATTTTTCATAGACTATCATCTTGAAACCTACTTCAAAGCAAATACAGAAGTCTTCTCAGCATTAACGCTGCACCCATTCATTTATTTAACATCAAACAGCTATTGATTAACTTCCTGCTCTGTGCCAGATACAGTTCCAGGTGGTGAGGTTGTGACATTGAACCAGACGGACAAGATCCTTGCTCTTTGCCAGCACACATTCTAGCCGGGGCCAAAGTAGAGATGCAGACAGCAGTCACATACACAGCCTGTCCAGATGGCAGCTGCCTTCCCAGTTCTTTCCCCCTTTGCCATTGCTTCAAAGCCACATCTACACCCTTGTTACCTGTAGTGTTGTGCTGAATTTAATCTCACACTACTACTACCTCCATCTAGTAAGAGCCGCTTAAGGGCCTCGTTCCAGTACAGGAGAGGAATAATGGAGAGGCGTCTGGCAGCATCATGTTTCTTGTTAAGCTGAAACTAAACATGCTGTACTTTCAGAATTGTACAGGTGAGAATTCATTCACTCATTCAGCAAACATTTATCGAACAGTATATCAGTCAGGGTTCTATTATGTCCCAGGCTGTATAGCACCTGTATGCCCATCTACAGTACCTCACACTGTAGGTGGAGGGAGAGAGATGTGAAATAAATAATTACTGATAAATATTACAATGAAAACACATACCAGTACAAGGGGAGCACCACAGAAGCAGGCACTAACTCTGGCTGGGAATAGGTTTCATCCTAAGGTCACTTCTAAACCTCATCTTAGGGGCACCTGGGTGGCTCAGTGGGTTAAGCCTCTGCCTTCAGCTCAGGTCATGATCTCAGGGTCCTGGAATCGAGCCCCGCATCGGGCTCTCTGCTCAGCGGGGAGCCTGCTTCCCCCCCCCCCCCCCTGCCTCTCTGCCTACTTGTGATCTCTCTCTCTGTCAAATAAATAAATAAAATCTTAAAAAAAAAAAAAGATTCTCCTTAAAAATAAATAAATAAATAAATAAACCTCATCTTACAGGTGGCTGGAAGTAGAACATGCTTCATTTATTTAGGGAATGTTTACTGAACACCTTCTCTGAGCCAAGCACAACTGTAGGTGCCATAGACACAGCAGTGACCTGGACAAAGTCCCTGCTCTCTTAGCAGCAGAGAAACATACAATAAGCGTATAGACTAATAATTATATATTAGGTGGTGATACCTATTAATAACCACAAAACAAAGCTTAATAAAGGGAACAGAGAATGGTAAGGGATACTGTTTTAGATCAGATGGTCAGAGAAGGCCTCTCTCATGAGATGACTTGTGCTCAGAATCCTGAATGAATGAATGAATGAAACCAAAAAGCAAAAGGAAGCCATTTCACACAGAGGGACTGGCATTACTAAAGGCGTAATAATCTTGAAAAGCATGGCCTCTTTAGTGCAAAGTGGTGAGATATTCTCACTGAGCATGGAGTAAGACGGGGTACAGGGCCTTGGGCAGAGTGTGGTAGATGAGGCTGGGAAAGATGGAAGGAAGGGAAGAAGGGAAGGAGGGAGGAAGAAATGGGAAAGGTCAAGAACAGTTTCTAGGTCTAAACTTGGGTGACTGAATGAGGGATAATGCCATTAACCAGCTGAGGGAGCCCTGGAGGAGAGACAGGTTTAGGAATGCAAATAATGAATTTGATTTGGGGCAATGGGAAATACAGAACTGGATATTAGAAGTCAGGCTAAAATACAGATTTGGCTATTACCAGCATTTCCTGGAACTTTAAGGAGGAAGAACAAGTAGAGTTAGTCAACATTGTCAGATACCACAGAGAAGTTAAATAGGATGAGAATTTTTAAAAGGCCATCACATTTGACATTTGGAAGGTTGACAGTGACTTCCAGAAGACCAATTTCATCAGACTTGGGTAGGGCAAAGCCACATCATGGTTTAGTTGGAAAGTGGAAGGGTAAGAGGCTAAGATTGTCCAGCCAGGATCATTGTCTTCCCCCACTTCCCAGAGCACTCCCTGGAAGCTTCGAACCTAAGGTCACATCTTCTCCCACTCCCTCCTTAACTTTCTCCACTTAAGGCCTAGGATTGGATGCTTGAGCTGGGGATATGATCTCAGATCCTCAGGTTTCTGATGGGAGAGGGGCCAGGGATAAGGGAGCCTGATACTGGTGAATCGGGTATTGAAAGAAGCATCTTCAGTGGGGAACAGCAGATCAGGCCCATTCTGAGATCTATCGCCGGAGGGGGAGAAGGATGAAATACACAGGTCTCTGTTGTATGTGGAGACTAGACCAGGAAGCTGAGGTGGGATGCAGAGCAAACAACTGGAAAGGTTGGGAGTCGGAGAGGGAATGGGACATGAATTAATCAAGAGAACCCCAATGAGAGAATACAATTTGGCAAAGCATGGGGGTTCAGGGTTGAGGCTGATAGTAAACTGATGGGCACTAGAAGAAATTTAGACAGAGATGCTTAGGTTTCTTAAGGCACAGGAACTGAAGATGTGCAAAAGAGAGGCTGTTGGCAGTACTTGTGAGCACAGTGATAGCAGTGAGGTGACAGTTGTGACCCGTGGGGTGGTCCCAGCAATAACTGGCATAATAGCTATTCAGTAAATATTTATAAAGCCAGAAGGGGCTGTTCCTCCACAGATAATGTGGAGGAAAGGGATGAGATACTAGAGTTCTGAAGAGCTGTTAGTAATGCCTAGGTTCCCTTCTGGGAGAGGATGGGGCTGGTGCCTAAGAGATCCCGGATGCCTTAGAAGTACAAAGCCCGAGAGAGGCTTGTACCACGGAGGGACGTGGTAGCATATCCCAGGGTAGGAAACCTACTCCTTTAATCCTGGAGACCCAGGGGATTCCCCGGAAGTCTACCAGATTTCCTCACCACTGCACACTCCTGGACTGTTTCTCTCACCTGCACCTCCATCTCTGCCCACTGGGGGGCGGGGCTCGAGGGCAAGGCTTGTAGCTGCTCTGATGCCTCGAGAGCCATCAGTTCCTACCAGACTCCCTGCTCGGGTGTGGTCTTAGCCCATGGCCAGACACAGGCCCTCAGACTTCTCCCCACTGCCAGGCAGTGGTAGGGGCGGGCCCAGAGGGCCAATGCCAGTGCGAATTGGTGCTCCGGTCTGGTTGAGTGCCCAGGCCGTTCCCAGCATGCTGATGGTCCGGCCAGGGATCAGCCCAGGCCCTGAGGGGTGGGAGGTGCCCCTGGGTCCACAGCCCTACGGATTCTACTGTGGGATGGCACCCCACAGGTCCAGGGTCGGAGCTGGCGAGGCTGGACCCCGGTTCCGGAGCCCCTCGGAGGGCACCTTCCGGAGACCCTACATGGTCCTGCAGTGCACCCCGAGTTTGGTGCTACCAGAGGACGTCTCAAAGGTAGAGAAAGAGATAGAGCAGCTGGCCAAAGAGCTGAGGCAAAAGAGGATGGCCCTGGGGTACTCGCAGGCCGACGTGGGGTTCGCCATGGGGGCTCTTTTTGGAAAGGCGCTTAGCCAGACAACCATCTGCCGCTTCGAGTCCCAGCAGCTCAGCCTCGCCAACATGTGGAAGCTGTGGCCACTTCTGAAAATGTGGCTGGAGGAGGTGGACACCAAGAACTTACTGGGCATACGCAAAATGGAGATGATCCTGCGGCAGGCTCGGAAGCAGAGACGGGCAAGCAGGGAGAATCGCATCCGAAACAACCTGGAGCAACTCTTCTTGCAGTGCCCGAAGCCCACACCCCAACAAATCAGCTGCATCGCTGGGCAGCTCCGGCTGCAGAAGGAGCTGGTCCGAGTTTGGTTCCATAACCGGAGCAAGATGGATCGTCAGCCAACCATTGATTTCTCCCCACCGGCGGATGTGGGGGCAGCCGGGCCTCCTTTCCCAGGGGGACCAGTGTGCTTTCCCGTGGCATCGGGGCTCCATTTTGGTTCCCCCCACTACGAAGAGCCTTACTTTATACCCATGTATTCTCCTACCCCTTTCCCTGTGGCAGGGACCTTCCTCTCTGCCCGAGTAAACGCTCAGGGCCACCCCAGGCTTTCAAAATGAGGGGCTGTGCCCTTCTGGGGAGGGTTGAACTGGGAAAATGGGTCCCTGTGATTCATTTCAGGGCTGTTAACATTAAGAGCTCCATTCACTGTCTAAATAAGTTAAGAATACCTAAGGGATGAGTTGGGAGTTGTTTAGGAAATTCAGGGGAGGGAAGTTGAAGTTTATTAATTCCATTGTTTTTACCTACCATTGGTTTTAAGTCATATTACAATACATATATGGTTTCAGATATTTTGTTTCTCTTTTTTTAAATTAATTAGAAATTGTGTCTATTATTGCTTGTGGTTATCAGTAAACATAGGGATTTTTTTTCTTATAAACACAATATTGAGTGAAAACCTCAAGTCAAAGAAGATTATTTCAGTACACCATTTTTTATCAAAAACCAGCAGAACTTTATATAAATATAAACATGGGTTCCAAGATAATAGTAACCTCTGTGGGAAGGTGTGAGGTTGGGATAGGGCAGGAGTACACAAAACCTACCCAGAGCCCTTGATAAAACGCAAGAGTTTTCTTGTTCTCCTCCCTTTCGTGAAAGAAGCGTTTGTTTGTTTTTTTCTAATTCACCTTCTCATTTAGAGTGCTCAGTTTCGTGTGGAGGTCTCAGTCCAGCTCTCCACCTTAAGGAATCCCACTGGTGTATCTCCCGACCTGCCACAGTCATTGTATTTAGAATCCTTTTGTTACTAAGATTGGCACGCTAGACAGCGCTAGCTCAGCCCCCAGCTCCAGCTTGCTTCTCTGGTTTTCAGCTCTGTTTGTTTTATTAAGGGGATTTCCCTTATTACTTTTGAACTCAGATATGCTTCCTAGAGAATATCTGCAGTGGTTAAGTCAACATTCCCTGGTGGCTGGTCTGGTGGTTCATCCTCTGTCACTTTTCCAGTCTCTTCTATGAAATCGATCTTTTCTAGTTTTCTACTTCTGCAGTGGTGAACTTTGGTTATCATATACTAAACAGAAATAATTAATTTTTCTGTGTTTGTACCTCTGCTTCTGTAAACCTGCATGTAATATTTGTTGCTTTATAATTCCATCACTAAATATTATGTCTTGAGTTTATGTCTTCTATGCAATTACTATTCATGTCAGTTTTTGCTTTCTCTACTTTATTTTTCCTTAATCAGCTTTTATAAAGAATTTATCTATAGGTATTTACAAAGAACAAGTCTTTTAAAAAAATTTTTTTATCTTATTTACTGCTGTTTTTATTTTCTAATTGATGAACTTTTAGCTTTTATTTTTATTAATTGCTTTTTTCTAGTTTCCTCTGGTTTCTTCCAATGTGTCTTTTTCCTTCTTTTTTTTTAAAAGATTTTATTTATTTATTTGACAGAAAGAGAGATCACAAGTAGGCAGAGAGGCAGGCAGAGAGAGAGAGGGAAGCAGGCTCCCCACTGAGAAGAGAGAGCAATGCCGGGCTCGATCCCAGGACCCTGAGATCATGAACTGAGCCGAAGGCAGAGACAACCCACTGAGCCACCCAAGCACCCTGTATTTTTCCTTCTTGTCAGCGTTCAAAGATAAAATACTGACAGTGTACACAGGTTCATGAAAATGGAGATAAACTTCACTTACTTAGCTTGAGATTCAGTAGATGACTAATCACTCACTCTTGGACTATCCCACTAAAAGTCCCATAGCACCAGTCCCATTTCTTCCTTTTCCCAGACAGCCCTTCTGGACAGCCTTGAAAGGGAGAAGTTTCCATGGAGAGCAAGGTAGTATCTAACGACAGGATGGATCGTTGTGGTTGTGTCAACATTCAGCTCCTAAAAGCTGTGAGGAGGCTCTGACCCAGGCTGCAGCCCCTGCATATTTGGAGCAATGGTAATGGGCTGTCCATCTCACGGAACAGCTCCGAGGGTCTGGCTCAGCACCTGCACAGCTGCATCGTTCACACAGCTGCCGCCCCTCTACTCAGGCAAGCACCACGACATGTCACTGATCAGCCCTCACATAATCTAAAATGAGATTTTTCCATCACTGCTCCTTTTGACTATGAAGAGAAAAAAGGCTAGACCTTGGGGCAACTTTGACATTTAAAGAATTTCATATTTTTCAAAGATTTAAGATTATGAGCAGAAATCTTAATAATAAAATCCTTCAAAACTGAGAAGGAGCTACCCTTCAAGTTGGGAGAAAACCAACAGTGTGGTGTCGGTGCTGAACAGGGTCAAATATACAGAGATCAAGTAACATAAAATCAAGTAATATATACCACATCACTAACAAACGTATCCTTGGTACCATTAGTGGACAGTTGGTAGAGGCAGATGTCGAACAACAGTCCAGAGTCTTCCTACTTGCCAGATTTCCCACTAACCTCAATTAAAAACACAAATTCCCACCACTTAAGATCTTCACCATCATTCTGAAATATTCTTTATCACGTTTCCTTTATCTTGTGTTTTCTTCAGACAAGGCAACTATTCTTAGCCTGATGATGCTGAGCCCCTTTAGAGTACAGATGGAATAGTGTGTTTGTACATATGTGCGTCTTTACAGATGGGGATGATAGTTTTTATCACATTCTCAAAGGAGACATGACTCTTTGTAGATGTACAGTTTCAGAATTCTAGAAATACATTCCCTTTGGTCACCTCACTTTCAGGAGTTTTCCGTTGACGCAGTACTGATCTAACAAGTAATTTGTGGTTTTCTTTGAATCTGTATTTTCTGGATATCTCTAGCTCAGTATAGACATAGAGGACCTGAATCACTTCTTATATAAGTCTTTCAAATTCGGAACAAATGTTGTATTAATTACTGCCTTTATTGTTCTTATACTTTTATCAATCCTTGACACTTTAATTAATTCCTATCATAAAGAACAATTTCTCTTGTTCCCAGAATCTTTCCTATCTATTGTCTGAGAAGACTTGAAGTGTTAGGATAAGCTCCCTTATTCCAAAACATTATCTTGCTCTTGAAATAGCATCTAAATATTTTCTATAATTTCACATTTTTGAAATATACATACTATATATCTTTGTTTATTATACTAAAACTATGTCATGGGATTTATTTTTCAGTATGGCCACTTTTGTTTATAGCTTTCTTCCAGAAATCGTCTTACTTTCTAAATAGTATTAGTTTGCGTGGCAGAACCTATTCACAATGAATTTTTTTAGAGTACAAAATTGTATTATCAGTGTAAGACAGTGTTTTGAAAGTGAAAACTACAGTGCCATTCCAATAACATGAGAGTATTACTTGACAAAGTGATTGTAAACTGAAAGACCAAAACTTAGGAAGATAAGAAAATTTTGAAGAAAAGAGTTAGGGTGGCCTTGTCCTACCAACTGTTATGAAACTACAATAATTTAAACAGTATGGTGATGCTTAGGGACAAAATAACGGAAACGAGTATTTGGCTATTCATGAATTGCAATCTTCATGAAAGGCTATTGGGTAATTCATATGGGAAGTTTTTAAAATGTGATTTTTCTTTGGCCAATCATTTCCGCTTCAGTGAATTTCTATAAGAAAATAATTGTGTGCACAAAGATTTAGCAATAAGGATCATCATTACAGCATTTTTTCAACAACAAGAAATTGTTAAAACCAAATGTTCAACAAAGGGAAAGTAAATGACAAGAAACACCATACATATAAAAATTGTGTTATAGAGCTACAGTTTAGACAAAGGTCAGAATAGATTATTGAGTGAGGCAAAAGAGTTTATTAAGCTTTATGATATTTCTTTTTTTTTAAGGAAAAAGATATGTTACATATACAAATCTATACATAAACAAGTATCATTGGTGATTTAATTTATAAAATTGTTTTGCTATATTTATTACGCAGTAAAAATATTTAAGAAGAGCTTCTGAAAGAAGGTGCTAGGAAGGGGCACCTGGGTGGCTTAGTGGGTTAAGCCTCTGCCTTCGGCTCAGGTCATGATCTCAGGGTCCTGGGATTGAGCCCCCGCATTGGGCTCTCTGCTCAGCAGGGAGCCTGCTTCCCCTCCACCCCTGCTCTGCCTCTCTGCCTACTTGTGATCTCTCTGTCTGTCCAATAAATAAATAAAATCTTAAAAAAAAAAAAAAAGAAGAAGAAGGTGCTAGGAAATCTAGGGTTCCTAAAAATATTCATTCTTCTGGTCTTTTTATCTCTAAAATGGTACTTTTTCATTATAAAGCAATATTTGGGAATAAAAAATTTGACCTTTTCATTTTTAGTCATAATTTGTAGTTTCTTTGAAAAGAAAAGCAGTTCTCTAAACAGAGGAGTATTGGTCTATATCAGTTAGAGAGACATTGCTAAAAATTAGGTGTTTTCTGTTTTTTGTTTTTTGTTTTAAATCAGATGCCCATTAATGTTAAAGAGCTGTGGTGTAGCTCAGTGAGTGAAGACACCTGCCATATGTCTGTTTTCCTGCACAACATGGTAATTTACAATTACAATTAGTGTGTTTATATACCTCAGTAGTGTTAACCCATATTTAGAATATAATATAAACCCAAATCATTTTCGTGTTTCTGAATGTTTACTTTTCAATTTTAAAAGCCATTTGAAAATATCAAAATTCTGGTTTTTATCACAGTAAAATCCTCCTTACTTAACATATTTGGAGAAACAGAATGGACATAAATAAGACCTATAAGTTTCTATGTTTGAAGGCAGGGGCAGTTCCTGTGATTACAGCGCCAGCCAGTTGAAAGATGAACTGTCATGAAGTGAATCTACCCAGTTACCCAGTAAAATCCTTAAAACAAAGCATTAGCATTATCATGATTACACCAGTGAAGAGAAGCTTGACAAGAAGCTGTTGAAGAGACTTTGTGGTTTACCTACAGAGCTGTCTTCAGAAGACAGTGCAACATATTGGTCTGTTGGGCTGCTGCCCTGCCATCTTATTTTAGCTAGGAATCCTGCTGTGAATTTTGCTAAAGGCAAAATGAGCTACATGGGCATTGCACTTGGGCTTCTTGGGCTTTCATCCCCCAGTTTCCAAAAAATGATGAAGTACAAACCAACTCCACTTAATA